ATAAATAAAGTGTGAATAAAGAAGGGGGGGGGGTAAAGTGGATGAAGTGAAAATCACTTCAAATTTAAAAAAACTTTTTACAAATATCATTTTTGATGTTTTTTATCATTTCTGTGAATGGTTTGTCTTTGGGAATTTTTTATTAAATTTTGAAACAGTTTCTTCCCTTTTTGGCTTGAAGGAAGGATGTGTCCATTTAGAATTAAAAATTTCAGAAGATTTTTTGTTTTTTTCTTTTCTTTTGTTAACTGATTTCTTTGTTTGATTTCGTTTCGTTGGACGAGCTTTCTTAATTGGATCAGCTCATTTTTCATTTGCACTTTTTCAGAAATCAGAATTTGGACACGGTTGGCAAGTTGGTTGTGTTTTTCAGAAATCTCATCAAATTTGGACTCCAATTTTGTGATTTCCTGTTGTGTTTCGGAATTTGTTAAAGTCTGTGTTTTGTTGACGAGTCTTCTTTGTTTTAAAGTTTGTGGGAGATTGGTCGTTGGCTTTGTTAAGAGCTTTGTTGTTATTGTGAGCGGGTATATTTCAGAATCCGCTTCTGAGAGGGATCGTTTTCTTGAGTAGTTTGTGAAAAGGTTCTGTTGATCCATTAAATATGTTTTTTGGGGTTATTTGAAGAAAAGAAAGTTTGGTGATTTGGTTTTTTTTTTATAACAAGCAAATTTTGTGGTTGTGGTGAATTTCACGTGTTTGGGTTGATAAAGAAATTAGTTCTTTGTTTGTGCGAGATTTGTTTACAAAAACCGAAAAAAATAAGATAAAAAAAATGATTAAAATACGTGGAAGAAACAAAATGTTTTTTTAAACACAGAGAATACACATTGGTTTTGGGAACAGTTGTGTTCTAAAAACATTAGTTATTTTGAGTTTTTTTAAAAAAAAGTTGTGAATAAATTAATTAATAAAAGACTAACGTTCTAATTTCAAGTTTTCTTGGTTAGTTAAAGACAATTTTGTTGTTCAAAATTAAAAATGATTTCATCAGTAACAATTTTTGAGACACGTTTAATGTAAATTCCAAAAAACCACATTTCAAAGTTAAATTTTTTTGAAAAAAAAGAAGTTATGAAGAACACTAGAGTCAACCAAACGATTCTTTTATATGAATTAATTCAATAAATTTGTTTTATGATATTAGAGGAAAAATTTGAAAAACACTCGTGTTTGAAAAATAAATAAGAAACAATTTTCACCTCATTTTTCATTCTTTTTCTGGTTTCATATTAGTGTTTGAAAAGAAAGACATTGTAATTACTGTTAGATTGAATTTATTTTGTTTGGACTTATTGTTCTTATCTAGGTTGTTTAAGATTGGAATCCAAAACAAAAGCCAGATTTTTAGAATTGAAACAAAAGATAATCTTCATGAATTTTTATCCGATTTGAAATTTCAAATACTTGTCTATAAAAGAACAAGTAGTTATTTCATCAGAAACACCAAGTAAAAAAGAAATACTGTGATCAAAATAATGCGTGCACAAACACTATAATCCGTGTTTCAAAATATAAAACGTGCTTTTTTGGCTTGTTGTTTCAATGGAAATCAATTCTCTACCCAGTGGTATACCTAATTTCAATTCGATTTTGATAGTAAACTGCTTGATATTTTCTTAAAAAACTAAATTATGAATGCAATTTGTTTAAAATATTTCTGTAATATTCATAATTTTCTTAATTATTTTCAAGGTTTTTAAAATTATTATCAAAAATTTACTCTATTTTTTGAGATAAATTTTCAAATTTGATCCTTCATTTTTAGAATTTCTTTTCAAATAGTAGAATTATAAGAATTTAATAGCATATTTACTATTTGTTTATTGTCAATTCCTTTCACCAATTAATGTATATGTCTTCTATAAAGAAAAAAATTCTTTTTATTTTGAAACACTATTAAACTTTTATCCACACTTTGTTTTGGCAAGAGTAAAAATCAAAATATTGGCTCACTCTAGAAATAAAAGAAACAAACCAATAGGGTGACAACAAGAAATAGGGGTCTTTAAATAAAATTTTCAAAAGGAATTATGAAGATATTTAGAGATTAAAATGTTGTTTTTTGACAAAAAAAATGAGAGAAAAAGATTCTTTTTTTGACTTTTTACCAAAAAAATAAAATTTTCATCTAACAAAATTTTAAATTTTGAAAAAAATTTTGAATCAAAGCATTTAATATTTTTGAACCACTTTTAAACTAATCAAAAATCTAACCTCTAAAGTCAATTTAAATCTGAACCAAGTCTCTAAAATGTCTTCCCATCTGCCAATACCCAAACCTGAAAAAAAAAAAAAAAAACATTACTGGTATTTGAATAATAAATGGGAAAAAAATTCCACTTCATTTTTCCTTATTTTTCTTTTATAAATAGAGTTTTCTCAAAGAAGTGGGCCGTGTTTTGTGGTTTTGTTCTTATCTGCAAAAGAAAAATAAATAAAAAAATTTGAAATGTAAGTGAAAATTTTTCCCATTTATAATTCAAATGTCAGTAATTTTTCAAATACGAGTATGAGTCAAGAAAAGATCAAAATCTGATAAAAGCAAGCATTTTGCAATTTTTACTGTTTTTAAAATGTTTGTGAATGTTTAAACGCCAATTAGATCTGTTATGTGTTCAAAAAATATTTACAAAGACCAAAAAATCCGTTATTTTCCAATACAAATTATGAAAAAAAATTTATTTCATATTCTCCAACTTTATTTCTTTAGAACCAACGAAAAAAGAAAAAGATCTTTACAAACCCAATTAGAAATGATATTTTTTTGAAATTTGCTAGGGATCTTGTTAGTTAGACTAACCGCCAATTTCCCTTTGAAAGTACAAACTTTCAACAAAAAATTTTATACACAAAAAAAATCTCAAATTAAGAAATATTTTTGGAATTTTTTTAACACAAATTATTTTAATAAACTATTTATATTAATTTTGGCACACCCAAAATTTAAAATCTCTAATTATTTATTTAATGTATTATTACAAATAGTTTTGACAATGACCTAAATAATTACTCACTTATTAAAAACTTATTTAAAGGTTTAATTCATTAATAACACATTAATAATAAAAAATCTCAAAAGAGAAAAAAAGTGAAGTGCCAAAAATTTTAAAATAAGGTTTTTCAAAAATCAAATTTTATTAGAATCTAAATTTGAAAAAACAAAAAGGGGGAAATGAAAAAAAAACGAATTAAAAAATGAAATAAAACTGTTTAAATTTTGAAAAAAATATATTTAAAGATACATCATGAAGATTATAGACTGGCCAAAATTGTTAATATCAAAGTTATTATCGGTATACCAAAATTGTTGAAAAATAGTTTAGAATCCGAAATTTTGAGCCTTAATTTGGAATTTTTTTGTGACCTTAATTTCATACAAATTTTGTTTCTTTGAAGTGAAACTGACTGTAGTAGAGAAAATTATTTTATAATTCAAATTGAAAAAATCAATAAAGAAATGCTTTTTTCTCACCCATCTCTCTTTCTGGAATTTCTGTTGACCTTAACTACACTCATTAAAAGACAAAACATTTTTTTTTTTCAAATCAAAAAATATTACTCGTTCACCCAGATATCAGACCAAGTTGAATCCTTGAAAAACCAAACTAGCAGAAAAACCCATAGATTACGCAATTAAATACTCGAATTATGGACAACAATTGAAAGTAATGCTCTAATTTGGATATAAAATATCATGAATGAAATATTAGGAGAAATCTGCAGCAACAAAAAATTCATCAAACTTGAAAGTAATATGATCGTTATACACTACTATTGTTAAAATAATGCGTGCAGAAAAGTTTAATTCATGTTTCAAAATAAAAAGTGTTTTTTTTTTTTTTTGTTAGAGAAGACCTACACATCAACTGGTGAAAGGAACTGAAAATAAACCATAATTAAATATGGTTGTGGTTTCTTAAAGTTCTATTATTTTTAAAAGGAAACTCTAAAAAGAAAATATCAAATTGCAAAATTTATCTCAAATAATAGAGTGAAATTTTCAGAATATTTTTATATACAGTCTTTCCAAGTCTACTATAAAATTTTAAATAAAACACAATTGATTTTTCTATTCTTATTTTCTATTTTCAAAAAATTCGGAAATAAGAGTTATTATTCAAAAAAAAATTTCAATGAATGAGCTATTATTCAAATTTTTGAAAAAATCAAAAAAAAAAATTTTTGAAGATCCCATGAAACTTAATAATTATGGGTCCAAAACAGGTTCAAAAAAAATATCAATATTTACTGATCTTTTAAAATTTACCTTTTTTGAACAATAATTTAAAGTTTTCAGTGATCTTGAATTTTTTCAAAAATTTGAATAATAGCTCATTCATTGAAATTTTTTTTTGAATAATAACTCTTATTTCCGAATTTTTTGAAAATAGAAAATAAGAATAGAAAAATCAATTGTGTTTTATTTAAAATTTTATGGTAGCCTTGGAACAGCTGTATCAAAAAAAACAAACAAAAAAATTTGAAAAATCTAAGAATATTACGAAAACTTGTGAACTAATTGAATGAATAATTTAAATTTTTCGGAAAAGATCAAGGGGTTTACTTTCAAAATTGATTTGAACTTAGGTATACTATTGATTGGTGAATTAAATGTTGACTTTGAACAAGAAGAAAAAAAAGCATGGATTATATTTTATAACATTTATTATTGTTGTTGGGCATATTATTTTGATCACTGTAAGATCAAAAATTATGCATTTTTTCACCAGAAAAAAAATACACATTTTTTTTTTTCTTTCAAAAACAAATCTTTCTTGAAAACACAAAAAAAAAAGAAATGAAAAATTGAACACTTTTCTTCAATTATTGAATTTTGAAATTTGAAAATATCCATATTAAAAAAAGATTTTTGTTTGAAATACTTTTCGAATTCGATTTTAATCAAAAACCTAACCTTCAATTATCTTTTAGGTTGTTCAATTGCTAACATCAAAGTCAAACAATAAAAAAAACATATTTGTTTTGTAAAAAAAAAACGACAGAGACAGGACTCGAACCTGCGCTCCACGAGGGAATTTGATTTCAAGTCAAACGCCTTAACCACTCGGCCACTCTGCCTTAAAATTACATTTAAACCTTCTTTTAAAAATTTTTTGGATAAAAAATAACGAGCAATTCTTAAAAAGAAAGTTTAAATATAAAATTGAAGATTCCTCCTTACTTCAATTAAACAAGACTTGAATACAATAAACATTTATCCAGTCAATACATTTCAACTTATTTTCTACAATAATTAATATTAAATATACTTTGAAGAGATAATCTCTCAATTTTCAAACAAAAAAAACGATTCTCTTAATTACACTTTTTAATTTTTTCGACTATAAAATTAAATCCTCAAACTATTCGAATACAAACACCATAAATTTAGAAGTTTTACCATTCCTAAAGAAAATTATAATTCTTGAACATAAGTTAAATATCTACTTCCTCAATATCAAATTCCACTTCAAAAATTTAATTTCATCTCAATCAATTCAGAATATTAATCCTTTCGAAATCTTATTCTACTTCAAAACATACACTCAAATATAACCCAAAAAAAGAAAGAAACAGATAATTAGAGATCAGAAACAATATGTCTCTTTTTCTGAAAACTCTATATCTCTCAGGAAAATTCAAAACAAAAGTGAAAATTTATTCCAATTTAATATTCGAATATCAATCACAAAAGAATTTAATTTTTTAGATCAGTTACTGACTAAGTTCTTTTTCGTTTACAATAATTTAGAAAACATTCGGGAAATTTAATCATTGATCTACAGATTTTAAAATAGCTAATACTGATAAATTGCAATTTATGTTTGGAAATTTTTCCTTGTTTTTCCATTTTGAAATTATTCTGATCAAGCTTTGAATAAAGCATTTTATATGGTCAAGTGTTCATAAACTCTATAAAATTAGTTGTTCTTCAAAATTTTTTTTGTCCTGTTCTGTTTTATAAGTCACAGTTCAAAGATTTATCAAAAATGGATTTTGAACTAAAATTTTTTGTAATTTCTTAGAATTTATCAGTAATTAAAATATGAAAAAATATTCAGGACAAATGATAAATAAAACCTTGAAAAATACAATAATTTTTCCAGTTATTGATGAATAGGTTTGAAATAAAGTATTCTGGATTTAGGTTATTGAATTCATTTTTTTTACAAATAATTCTTAAATATAACAAAATGAGCCGAAGAAAGAAACAACAAAAGAAACAACAAAAAGACACTGAAGAAAAAAAAATGGGTCCTTTAGTTAAAGATGGCGAACTTGTTTTTGGTGTTGCACACATTTATGCATCATGGAATGTAAACTTTAAATCTATTTGTTATGATTGCTTTTTTTTATTCTTAAATTTTGCTTTATTTTTTTGTTTTTGTGATCTTCTTTTTAATTACACAACAAATCTTCAAAAATGTTTAGGACACATTTATCCATATCACAGATCTTTCAGGAAGTGAAACAATTGCAAGAACATCAGGTGTGTATTTTTTTTTTTTTTTAATATTACCTTCTCGAAACCTTTTTATGAGACTCAGCAAAAATATTCGATTAACAAACAAATTACAAAACTAAAAATCTTTAATAATTTTTTTTTGTATTAAATTTCAAAAACTACAGGCGGACAAAAAGTAAAAACAGACCGTGATGAATCCTCACCATACGCAGCAATGCTTGCTGTGGTAGACATTATTACACGTTGTAAGGTATGTATCTACTCTTTCAACAAAAATATTTTTTTTCTTTTTCTTTTCAAGGCAATTACTAATCCCAAATAAACCCATTTTTGTGGGACTGCCCATTCTATGGAAAAAATCGAAAAATTTGGATTAAAGAATTAATTCAAATAAATAAAAATAATAAGCAATTAAAGAATAATATTCTCGATATTATTCGAAATAAAGACTCATTATCTATTTTATCATTAGTTAATGATAAAGAAAATTATGACTCTTTATTAAAATTTCTAAACAAAAATTTTGAAATTAGGATAAGTGCCGTAGAGTGCCTAGGTTTTTTTTAATTTCTAAAATTAAAAAAAACCTAATGGCGGTTTTCTTAAAGTTTACTGTTTTATTGGGAAAATCTATCGATTTTCACAAATAAATAGAAAACTCAAAAAAACCTATCGAAAATCTATCAATTTTGTAAATAAACTTAAAACCCAAAAAAAACCTAACAGCGGTTTTTCCTAAATTCAAAAGAATGGAGAAAAATCAAAGATTTTTCTCAATTCTTTTTTTTAAATTAAAAAAAAACCTAACGACTATAAAAGAAAACTAATTTCCTCCATTCAAAATAAAAAAAATAAATAAATAAACCCATTTTTAAAAAACCAATTCTTCTACCAAATTTTGATTGTTCATCTTTTGATCTTTTTTTTAAAATTTCTAAAATAGGAATTAAATATTAATGCACTCCATATTAAAATCAGAGGAAGAGGAGGAAATAGAAGAAGAAGACCAGGTCCAGGTGGCCAAGCTGCCATGCGTGCACTTGCAAGAGCTGGAATGAAAATTGGAAGAATTGAAGACGTTACACCAATTCCAACCGATGGAACAAGAAAACATGGTGGAAGAAGAGGAAGAAGACTTTAAGTCAGTTTATTTTGAGTTTTTTCATCAATATGATCAAAACTACAAAATTTTTGTTTTTACAAATATTTTTTTTTGGTTGGTGATGTTTATTCGCTCGTTAAAAAGATTGTTATTATTCTGTTTTTTTTTTTTTTTAAAAAAAAAATGGAACGAAAGTTAAAATAGTTGTATTTCTAAATTTGAATACCATTATTCTTACAAATAATTCAAATTCATTTTTAATTTCATAACTATATTAGATGTTTATTCACTGAATAAAAACTTTTAATATATTACACTTAAATTTTTTTTTTAAAATTTTAAAAAAAAACAAAAATTCATAAGAAACAACAACTTGGGAAAAAAAGGGGAAACGGGAACCAATTTTTAATTGGAATTTTTAATAGAATCACAGAAACCTGAAAATAAAAAGTAAGATTAATTAATAAAAGAAAATAAATGATTAAGGGACTAATCTCAATTAATTTTTTTTACCTAAATTTAATCGAGATTTGTGGAAATTTTTTGTAAATTACTTTGATTTGAAAAACCCTATTTATTTTCAATATTAAAAATATTTCTAGATAATAAATCCTTATTTAGAAATGGGTCTAAAAAAAAATAATAGAGACTATTCCCTTCAGAAAATAAGCTAAAAAATATTAAAAAATGGTAATTTTTTATTTTCATCTAAACCCCATTTTACTCAAAGGATATAAGTCAAAAATGAAAAATTCAATTTTTTTTTAAGAATAAACCCAACTAGGATTGTTTAGAAATAAGAGAAATAATAAACTTTGGATTAGAACCAATAATCATAAAAGAAAAGCCTGAACAAACCATAAATTTCAAAAAAAAAAAATGTTAAAAAAATTTTTTGGTCACTTTCATTGGAACATTTCTTGCAAAATTTCTCACTTTCTTTGGAAAATTAAAAATTTTTACATTAAGATTTTTTAATTGTAAATGTAAACATTTTAAAAGAAAATACAACGCTTAACTTTTCTTAATGTTAATTTGGAGTTTCAAAGATTTTTTCTTTTTCAAATTTTGTTTTTTGTAATTTAAAAATAGAAAAAAAAAAAGCAAAAATCAAAAGGGAAAAAAAAATGAAAAATATAAAAAAAAATGAAAAAAAATGATTTAAAAATTGGAAATTAATTTTGAGAAGAATAATGAATTAAAATTATAGAATATGTTCTATTTCTGCAATAAAACTAGGATCCCTCAACTGAAAAAGAGTTTATTTTTAGAATTTATTTTTAATTGTAGAACTTGAAGAAATTAATAATTGTTTTTATTTTTTTGATTTGGAAATAGTCAACTTTTTATAATTCATGATTGGTCTGAAAGATTAAAAAAAAAATAATATTTTATTATTTTTATCTTTCCTCCCCAACAAATTTTTTTTAGTACAATTATCAAAATGTACAGAAGCACTACAAAGAAATTATTTATATCAAATTTACCAAAGGAATACTCCGTTGACTTGCTTTTAAGAACAATATCTAACTGGACAGAAGACGTCCCCAACCTACAAATTATATCAAACAAAAAAAATCCAGATAATGGACTTGCCATCTTATGTTCGGTTTCACAAGAGCAATCCATTATTTTGAAACAAAAATTGCCAAAAAAACAATTTCAAGGTCGTTTCTTAAAAGTAGCTGATTTTGTTCCAAAAAGAAAAAGGAAAAATAATTTCAGGAATAAAGCAAAAATTCAAAATAACAAAGAAAAAGAAGAAAGATCTAATTATCAAAAAAAAAAAAAAAGATCATTCTCAAAAAAACTCCAATTTTAATTATGTTTCCAAGCAAACCGAGACTCAAAATCAAAATTGTAGCAAAAATGAATTTTTCGATCACGATCACGGAACACAAAAAAAATTTTCAAATGACAAAAAAAAAAAAAAAAAGAAAAAAGAAAATTATGATGGAAAAAAGAAGAAAAATCAACAACTAAATAAAAATACAGAGGAATTGGAAAATGAATATATTATTTTTATTGACAATATACATTATTCTGCAAAGAAAAACGATATCGCCAATTTATTAAAAAAATAATAAATATTAAAAGGATTATATATTTATATGATAAAAACAATAGATTTAGAGGAAAAGCAAAACTTATATTGTTTAATTACAATGATTTGGTGAAATTATTGAACTATCCTCAAAAAATTTCCTTTTTTAAAAGAAATTTAAGTTTCAAATTTTATAAAAACAAGAAATATAAAAACAATTCCAACAACAATACCAATAATTATAACAATAAAAATTATAATAATAAAAACTATAATAATAATAATAATAACAATTATAGTAATAATTTACAAAATAATAACAATAATAATTTAATTAATGAAATAAATCAACTAAAAATAATTATTAAAGATTTGGCCATTACAATAAAACAATTGAATACAACTATAAACAACAATAAAAATATACAACAATTCACAAAAGAAACAATATCCCAAGATGACATCAT